AATTATGTTTAATTTAACTATTAAAAATAATTAATAGATGTAATTGTTAATTAATAAAAAATAATACAAGTGATATTCATTATTTAATAATTTAAAATCAACTTTAAAAAATATCTTAAGAACCTTAACAATTATATATAAATAAAATTAAGTTAATTAAACATACATCATATTTTATATAACCCAAATAATTTTAAAAAATAATATTTTAATAATTATAAATTAATGATAAATTAATCCCTTATATTATTATTATTATTATTCTTTTTTTTGGTAGTAGTCGCCATAATAATTCTTTAAGTTGCTGTAACCTCACGCATGTATATATATATCTTAATGTCTCTTTCTTTGATTCCGCAAGCCACTCAGGCTCAGTCGTCTTTAATTTCCACGAGTCGTTAAAGTTAGTACGAAATTCTCTATAGCTTGTGCAGTATCATTCTGACCTGGTCTTGCTCGAAGCCTTCTTGCCACGTTTTGCTATATTACCATCATACCTCATTATTTTACTTTTTGAACTTTTTGTTTTGATATATAAGTATAATTTAAAAGAATTAATACTTATTTATATTATCTCTTAAATATTAAAAAAAATTATTTTAAATTTATATTGTTTTAATAATATATTATAAAAAATAATAATAAATTTTAATTCATATTTTAAAAATAAAATATTTTAATTTTTTAATGATAATTTATTAAAATAATAAAATTTTAAAATAAATTTTTTTTAAATTTTAAAAAATAAGATAAGTAAATATTATTTTTTAATTTAAATTAAAAATGTATTTTTTTAATATTAATTATTTGACTATTAATTATATATGTTTTGGTGGATAGGTGTTATATCAATTTTATATATAAATATTGCCGACATGATATTTATGATAAGTTACCTTAATTATATAGAGTTTCCCCCACGCGTTTTCCATTTCTCCTTTTACGCATGTTAAACATTCATGGTACCAAGTACCAACTATAAAAGGTATATGTAAAGATCTTTAGAGATCTTATGTACCATCAAATGTGTTCATACACACTTTCTGACCATTCCTTTGGTTTGCAACCATATTTACGAGTTTCTCGTTCCATAATTAAAACTCAACCGTGTGGGTTGAATGACTTAAAAAATAAGATATAATTGTAGTTTATTATATAATTTTAAATAAATAAATGAATCTTAACCCTCTAATTGCACTTTCTTCCTTATAACGAAAGTACAATTGCAATAGACCTTTTTTTTTTTCTTTTTTGTCAAGAAAATTTAAGAATAGTTAAACAATTACCAAAAACTCGTTGATAGCTACCTTAGATTAGAATTGTTCATTTTTTATAAATTATGTGTTCAAATCCTATGAAATTTTGTTTTCATTTTTGTCAATTAATACATAAATAATCACAATTTGTTAAAAAAAAAAAAAAAAAAAACTCATTGATGGTCAGATTTTAAGCACCAGTGCACCAAATAGAGCCTTTTTTTTCCCTCTCGAAGCAATAATTTTATCTTTTGAGATTAAAGAGTGTTAATTTGACAAATTTTTCTTTATAAATTAATTTACATTGCAATCAATTAATATAAAAAAAATTGTATCATTAAGAGTAGGTAGCAGGTCTGGCTTGCCGTGGTGCATGTGACATATTTTTATTTTAATCCAATGTGATTAAGGCTTTGTTTTCAATTTAGTAGTTAAGTGTAATTGATTATTGTAGTTGTAGTTGTTAATTAATAAAATAATTTAATAATTTTAAAATTTAAAAATATTTTAATTAATTATTTAAAAAAATTGTAAACTAATAAATTCAATTAAATCGAACATAACTTATATAAGAGTTGATTACATTAAGAATGGAGACAACAAAGTGGATTTTTATTATATAAGAAAAATAATTAAGAGGTAATTTTTTTATTTTATAAAAATAAATTATATGAATTATTATATATTATATAAATAAAATAGTGATATAAGAATAATTTTTTTATAATTTTTTATATAATTTTTATGTATCAGTAAATAAATAAATAAGCTCAATATTATAGATTTTAAATAAATAAACAACTTAAATATTTATATCATATATAAAATTTTATCTAAAAATAATATAAAAAATTACACGTGAATATTCGTGGTAGCAAATTCCATGCAGGATGTGTCCCTATTTTTGAAACTATTAATTCAGTCAAGGCAAATTAAAAGTCTTTGTTTTACACCTCGTTTTTTCCTCCGAGGAGCTATCCCTGGGTGGGATGTTGAATATGGGATGGGCATCGGTGACGGAACCGACCATTAGTGGCGGTCAACTGATTTTCTGGTTCAGCAAAAGTAAGAACCAATTATTGAACCAAATTGGTGTTGCTTATTTTGGTTTAGTTAATTATTATTATTATTATTATTTTGTTTTGTTTTGGTTTACATCGATTTTTGTTTTAATCTTTTAAGGGAATTGATCCAACTCAAAAACCTTCTTTTAAGAAAAAAATGGACAGAAATTTAGAAAAAAAAAAAAAACCTCTTTTAGTTCAATTTCTTTTTTTCTTTTTTTTTATCATCAAGAGCCTATTATCAATTTTTAATTTTCCAACAAGCATTCAATTGAATGTCTTTAAATTTATAAATCGAACCATCCAAAATACACCAAATTCCAAAAATTTTGGTTAAAACTTGACCCATTGTCAGTTGATTCCGCAATTAATCGGTTCGTTGACCGAACTTTGCACATCTTTATTAGACTTTCCATTCCCTCCGTGATGGTGGTATTTTGAACAATTCGCGTGTATCAATTGGTTTTTCGTAAACGAGTCAAATTATGGGATGTAGTTCAATATATCCAAGTTGACCGAAAACAACTGCTGAAAAAAAAAAAAAAAAAGATTTTTGTATTACTTTTTTGTCCCTATAGCATTACCCAAAAAAAAAAAAAAAACTCAATATTAATATTAGAATTTGCTCAAGTGCAAAGATGAAGTTTTACCCAAGATAGGTAATTTTGGAGCGTGATTTGTGATTTACCTATTATCAAATTCTAAAAAATTTTTACCCAATTGAGCCATTCACAAACCTTTGAAGCATATGTGATAAATTTAGGTATATGTTGATATATACACCTCTTAATTTTTCTTGTCGGCTAATTATTTACATACCAAATTCCAAATAACGGTATTAAGTATTTTTAGTTATAAAAGGAATCAATAATATTTCTAAAACTTTTTCTTTCTAGAAAAAGAAAAAGGAGTTATAACTTAAACATGAGGCTACTTGATCCACCATATTAAGGAATCTTTTCAAAAAAAAAGAGGAAAGGGAGAATTAAGAGGTCTCTACATTAAAAGTGGTAGGATATGGTCAAGATTAACATTATTATTTTTTGAATAAAGGGAGTAATCATTTTATCTAAATTCATTAAAAAAAAAAAAAAACCTATACCCAAATGTTAATTCCACAAAAATTACAACTAAACCAAATGGCTAAACCGACTAGCTCTACAATTTTTTTTAGAAGCGACAAGGACATAGTTGCACAACTATTTAATATTATAAATTTATAATATAATGTATAGTTATATAATTAATATTTTTTATTTAAAGGTTTACTTATGATTATATATATATATTTATTTAATAATAAATATGTCACATTTATTTAATACTATGTTATAATTGCAAATTTATAATTTTATACAATATTATAATAATAATATTATTGTTTTTATAGTAGTACTCACTTTGATCTTAATTTTTTTTTTAAAAAAAAAAGTAAAAAAAATGACATTTTAAGAGTATTTCTTATATTTCAAAATAATTGTTATTTTTTAAAAATTATTGATTTAAGGATAATTTATGTATTTATCAATATTCACCTTAAAAAATAAAATTAGATTTTTTGTGATATAATAAATAATTAAAGTAAATGGACATCAATAGTGTTAAAGTAGGAAAAAAATCTGTCTATTTTAAAAAATAAAAAATAAAGTTAATTTAGAACAAATTTAAATTAAAAATTAACAATTATTTTATAACAGATAAAGTAATAATCAATAAAAACATATTGAAATGGTTAAAGTTTTTTTTTTGTTTTTTTATAGAAATTTAACTATTAATATAAGTCTCCTTAAAAATACTAGGGTATTTATAAAATGACAATATTATAATTATAATATAATGTGATATTAAATAAGTGAATATATACAATATTATCAATAAACTAGTAAATGAAAAAAAGTAAATTATATAATGATATGTTATGTTATAAGTTTAAAATATCATGCGATATTATAACTGTAGCATTTTAGTTTATAAAATGGTTTTTCAACATATTAAGAGCACATTTATTATACATTTTCATAATTAACTTGTATAAAAATTGTTAAAGTGAACCTTATTTTTAACACTAATATCTTGGGAATAATTTAAATGACAAAACTTAAATAAACTTTATTTTTTATATAAATTAATTATAAAAATGCATAACAAATATATCATTAACTCATACAGATTAAAAATTTTCATATAAAATTAAATAAAAAATTTTGTAATTTATGCCTTTATAAATATATTTTTTATCATAAATTTTTTATTAAAAATAAAAATTAATTTTTAATTTATTAATTTTTTATTTAAATTTATCTATTTAATATTAATATTAAAATTAATATCAATTTTTATATTATTATATACATTTATCCTTTTTTAAATACATCTAAATAGGTTATTAAAAAAATAAAAAAAAGTAGCCTAAAAAGTAGCCTTCCTCTTCCCCCTAAGCCTCACCCCATTTGGACTCGTATACATTTGTTAAAAAAAATACTTTTAGCATGTACGTAAGGCCGAATGTTAAAATAATTCTTAAACAATAAATACGATTTATCAAAGAAAATTTATTAGAATTATTTAATTAATTTTCGTAACATTATTGTCTGTCTGCAGCAGACATTAAAAAACACTTATAGAAAGACTCTTTTCGACGACATTACGATCATCATCAACACCAACCTCTCCTTCTCACCTTCCTCCCCTCTCACGCCTCCGTTTCTTCTGCAATTTTCATCTCTCTCTCTCTCTCCCAGTCTGGCATATCATTTGGGGGCTAGCTTGCTACTATATATTGTTTTTATTCCATGTTTACACTCTCAAGGTCGGACCTTTTGAATTGAATTTGGTATTTTCTCCTGCACTTTTTTAAGCTTTTAGCACAGGACAATCATGGGGGCCTGCTTCTCCACCATCAAAGTCAGTGGCTCCAATAGCAACAACCACTCCACCGTCCCTAGGAATAGCCATCGCAAGAAATCGACGGCCAAGAAAAAGGATTCGCATAACGCAAAGAATGAGACCAAGAAACAGAACAATAAACAGCAGAATCGACCCCAACATCAACAGCAGCTAAAGGTAATCCCATGTGGGAAGCGAACGGATTTTGGGTACGCCAAGGATTTCGATATGCATTACAGGATCGGGAAATTGTTGGGTCATGGACAATTTGGGTATACGTATGTCGCCGTCGATAAGACGAACGGCGATCGGGTTGCGGTTAAGAAAATTGACAAGAATAAGGTACTATTTGCATGGTTTCATCGATTATTGTAATTTCTTCAAGAATTTTGCTGCTTTTTTTATGGGTCACCGCAGGTTCTGAAGAATCTGAGTTGATACTTTTGATTCAGTTAACATAGATTAAGTTTGCACATTATCCTCAAAATTCAGGGTCGAATTCCCTTTTTCTTTTTTCTTTTGTGGTGGGATTGGATTCGAAATTTCGAATTTTGATGATGGTGGGTTGATCCCAAATGCTAAATGAACGTGCTTTTGCTTTCTTATTAAGCAATGGAATGGGAAGGTGTTCTGTGTTTCATCTATTCTAATAGCTAGTGAGTTCAGTTTGTTTCTGTCTGTTCTTATTTATGACTGTAATATGCTCACTTTTCATAAAATTTGATGTGATCTATAATCTGGTTTCTAATGTTTTAGGATTTTGTATTTTGGTTTGGGTTTCAATTGTTTAATTCAATTATCAGTCACAATATTCTGGGAAGTAATCCTATCATTATGAGAAAACTGCACCAGTGACAGGAAATTTCACTTCTTCATTTCAGAAAGGAAACTGCCAACTGTATTCATTTGAGATGCAAAAATGAGTGAAAAAACATATTTTCAGGAGTATTGCATGAATACGGCCAAAAAAAAAAAAAAAGGATCATTGCATTGATAAGATGCATCAGGCTATCTATATGTTAGAATCCAGAGACATTGTATGGAATTGCCTTTTGGGATATGTAGGAATTAATAAAGTTTCTGGCTTTATTGCTGGGTAGCTTGGTTTCTTCCAGTACTCTTTGAAAATAAAGATTTGATGAGAGAAAAGTTTTCAAGTTTGTTTTTTAAAAATCTATAGCTAGGTACTCTATCCAAAGATGTAATGGAATGTTGATCACAGATGACAGAAATGTATCCAGTTAACTGGGTCTATTGAGATAGCAAAAACATGCAAAAAGAAATGATATTTTGGTTTTGTATTTTTTATTTATTTTAAAGGAAGCATTTGGTTTGGTTACAGATGGTTTTTCCCATTGCTGTTGAGGATGTGAAGCGAGAGGTCAAGATATTGCAAGCCCTTACAGGCCATGAAAATGTCGTTCAATTTTATAATGCCTTTGAGGATGATTCCTATGTATATATAGTTATGGAGTAAGTCTTCAATCATCTCTTTCTAAAATTGCTCATCCCTGCTGTTCTCTTAATGCAGTCATAGCATGTCATATCATTTTCATCTTTTTAATCTGCATTGGTTATACTTGTATTTGCATCATCTATCTCCAGATCCCTTGACTGTATTGCTTGATAATGCTATCTGATGTCTATACTAGGTTATGCGAGGGTGGAGAATTGCTGGATCGAATACTGAACAAGTAGGTATTCTTAGTTCTGATAATTCTTGTCTGGGGTGCTTCTCTTTAAATTCATATTTACTTTAAATTTTAGTGGCGACCACTTTCTTTTATATATCAGTGTTTCAACACTGTCACTATCACTGTAGTACTTACTTCTACATTTTGTCTTTAATCAGAAAGGACAGTCGTTATACTGAGAAAGATGCAGCAGTAGTTGTAAGACAGATGCTCAAAGTTGCAGCAGAATGTCATCTACATGGTATGGTACACCGTGACATGAAACCAGAGGTATGCGTATTGCTTTAGCATGGATAACATGTAGACTTATGATTTACATGGTCTTGCTTTCTGACAATGGCTCCACTGTCTTTGTTTCTTTCCTTTAGAATTTCCTTTTCAAGTCAACCAGAGAAGACTCGCCTCTAAAAGCTACCGATTTTGGTCTGTCAGATTTTATAATACCCGGTGAGTGGAGTTTGCATCATGTCAAGAAATCATGGATCTTACTAACACAACCTCTGTTTGTTTTTTCACTTGCTAGTTTTACCATCCTCGTGTTATCATGCAAAAACCAAGTTGCATAATGCTACATAACATTAAATGCAGGAAAGAAGTTTCAAGATATTGTTGGCAGTGCCTACTATGTTGCTCCTGAAGTATTGAAACGCAGATCAGGGCCTGAATCAGATGTATGGAGCATAGGTGTCATTACGTACATTTTGCTTTGTGGGAGGCGGCCCTTCTGGGATAAGACTGAGGATGGTATATTTAAGGAGGTAAAGAACAGCTACAATTGGATCCTGACTTACTTTTACTTGCTTGTTTCTATGATTTATGTGATTTTATTCTAGTGTTATTATAATTTACTGGTAGTTAGAAGTTGTGACATGCTTATCTATGGATCATTTTCCTTAAATCTGAAGAGATGATCTTAGTTGTGGAAATTTTTATTTTGTTCTTTTCTGTTTTGGGGAAGCATTTTTACTGCATATGCTTCATCTTGTCTGCATTAGAAGGAAAACTGGATGACTACCCTCAGCCTCTATTCATCTTGTAGTTTTTACTTTTTTGCATGTCTGATTATATCTCTTTTTAGGCACTGTTAACTTTTTCATTTGTGCCTTGGATTTTTTTCCTCATAATATTTTCTTTCCTGAGTATACTTATCATACTTTATCTAACTGTAGGTTCTAAGGAACAGACCAGATTTTCGTCGCAAACCATGGCCAACAATCAGCAGTAGTGCTAAAGACTTTGTCAAGAAGCTATTGGTGAAGGATCCTCGAGCAAGACTAACAGCTGCTCAGGCCCTTTGTATGTCTTGACATCATCTCTACAAGGAATAAATGATTCTCTTATTATAGGATTAATGTCAATGAACTAGAATGATACATATGTAAAGTTCTGTTTATTTTTAGAATTGAATTTTCCATGCTTTATCAATTTATCTTGTTCTAGTTTATATTCTGATTGCTTCAACTTTTCCAGCACACCCATGGGTTAGAGAAGGAGGATGTGCATCTGAAATTCCAATTGATATATCTGTTCTGAAAAACTTGCGACAATTCGTGAAGTACAGTCGTTTGAAGCAATTTGCCCTGAGGGTAATGACATTTTCCCACTTACCACTACCACTCTCTTCTGAGCATAGGAGAGCTCAGTTTTTCTCACTATTTACTACTTTTGAAATTTACAGGCACTGGCTAGCACACTTGATGAGGAGGAACTGTCCGATCTTAAGGATCAGTTTGATGCCATTGATGTAGATAAAAATGGTTCTATAAGTCTTGAAGAGATGAGACAGGCCCTTGCTAAAGATATTCCTTGGTCGCTAAAGGATTCACGTGTCCTTGAGATTCTTCAAGCAGTTAGTTTCATCTTCTGTAATTCTTTTCAACTGTGATTTTGTGAATGCTGTTTCACTGAATAATTTATTTCTTAATTTTTAAGATTGACAGCAACACAGATGGGCTTGTGGATTTCACTGAGTTTGTTGCAGCAGCCCTGCATGTGCATCAACTGGAGGAGCATGACTCTGAAAAGTGGCAGCAGAGATCACAAGCTGCTTTCGAGAAATTTGACATAGATAAAGATGGGTATATAACTGCAGAAGAACTTAGAATGGTGAGTATTAGATCAAAATTCATTTGTTTTGGAAAATTTTCTGCATAATACCTTTATGGTGCCATCACTGAGATTGTGCAACTAATTCACAGCACACAGGCCTAAAAGGTTCCATTGATCCTCTGCTGGATGAGGCTGACATTGATAAAGATGGAAAAATAAGCCTTCCAGAATTTCGCCGACTTCTACGAACTGCAAGCATCAATTCACGGAATGTCACCGGCCCAGCTGTCTGTCAGAGATCCCAAAAGTTATAGATCAGAACTGGATTTGTATATTGAGAGAGAATATAGAACAAGAGATGGAAATCCATTTTCCAGATTTCACTTGCTTAGAGAATCTCAAGCAGGTTTTGATCTAACTCTTTCCATCACCTTCCCTAGGACCCATTTGGACTTTAGTGTTGAATGATTGCATTCCACTTTGCTGGATACACAGCTCAGGGTTCTTTGACATTGATCTGCACTTTGGTTATAGAGAGGAAGATGGTTATAGGTGTATGGCCATATTGTGTATATCCCTTTTTGTGGGGGGTTTCTTCGTTGTGCCTGTTTAATTGATCATAAGTGACTAAATAATTTTAAAAAAATAAATAAATGAAAATATGTTGCAGAAGAATTCATTTTTGTGTTAATGGTGTGTTTTAATGAACCGTAATCCATCATATGCTTCGAATCTAAATATTGATGTTGTGTAACGGAGCCATGACTGTTAAAAGAAATAGTACTTGAACATTCAGATTGAAATATTTGGCATTGTAAAAATGGATTGGATCATCTTACCATTAGCTTCACTCACAACTTTGCATTTACTAGAATTTGAGTTTTCATCTACACAGCAGAGGGGATACCCGAAAGACCTTCAGATGAATGACTTTTATAAGCTCTTCATCCACAACAATTCTGTCCTTTTGGGCTTGCTTGCCTTTCCCAGCCTCCACGAGAGCTGGACCTGCGGGCTAGTGGGTACTACGATAAGGTGTCCGATCATTTACAATTTAAACTCATTTTACAATCTAAAAAGTGTCTTGCACTGTGAATTAATATGCACTATATAACTATTTTCATTAATGAGGAGTCGTCTTTGAAAGTGGGGCATTCCTCCTCCCAAATTAATGGCCCTTTGTTTTTAAATAGACTTTTTCTACTTTGTGATCTAAGGGCAAAAGATAAGAGTACATTTATTACATTTTTTTATTATAAATGTATATAAAAAGTGTATAAGTTGATATTAATTTTAGTATAAGATTATTTTAATTAAATATTTGATAAATTAAATACCAATTTTTATTTTTTCAATATATAACAAAAAAATATTTAATATACTTTTAACTTGTATCTTATTGACACAAGTTAAACAAACTTTTTAAATAGAGAAATAATTTTTGTATAATTTTTTTGTCCTACATTTTTGTATAATTTGATGTATCATTAAAATGATTGATTTTTTAATTCATGTGAGATCCGTAATATTAAATGCATCTACTCATTTAATGACATAAGAAAATTATATAAAAAAGTGAGACAAAAAAGTTATCCATATAGCACCACCTTTTAAATATTCTCCCTCCCAAATTAATGGTCTTTTGTTCTTAAGTATTCCCCCTCCCAAGTTAATTGTCCTTTGTTTTTAAAGTTAGACCAAAAAGTATATTCTTTTATTATTACAAATTAAGAGTTTGTTTTGTTAGAAAAACTTTTATTGAAAAAGTTGGAGTTTTAACTTTAAATATATTATTATTTGATAAATATTTTTAAAAATTAATAATTAAATTTAATATTTTAGTGATATAAATTATGCATATTAATTTTTAAATTTATTTAACATTTATAGTACTTCAATCAAGAAAATTATATTTTTTAATATACATTTAATTATGATAAATTTTTTATAATCAATAAAATAATTATATATATTTAATTAATTTGAAAATTAATGTACATAATTTACATAAATAAAAAAACTAAATTTAACTATTAGTTTTGAAAAAATATTTATTAAAATATAATGCTTTTAAAGTTAAGATTCTTATTTCTTTTTATAGAAATTAGTATTGATATGCACTATTCCTTAAAAGAAAATACTAGAATATGCCTAACTCCTAAAGAGTCTAAATGAGATCACATGTTAAATAATAACGATTAATTTAACAATGCTATTTGGTGCTATTTTGTAGTTATTGTTATTAAAAATATTGTGTTGTACTATTATAAAAAGCATTTTAGTGTTTGATAATTATATTTAAAAAAATATTTATTATAAAATTACTCAATTAAATACATTATTATTTAAAATTAAATTAATTAATAATTTAATAAATAATGTACAAAAAAATTAAGAATTTTATTAAATTATTTAAAATTTTTATTAATTTTCGATAATATAATTTTTGTATTCCTTTAAAAAAAATAGGGATAGATAATTCACTAAACACATAAAGTACATAAAATTTTGTAAATATGTATGAAAAGTAATGTAAATAAAGGTGTCAAACTAAATCTAAGTGATTTATCTTAATTAATAAATAAAAAAATAATTTACCTTTATTTTATTTTAAAAGTCGGATTTATTCCTACCTAAATATCATATTTAGGGGGTGGATTAGGGATTTGGCCCATCAGAATACTCTATTTCTTAGTAGCTAAGATATGAATTAATCCGCAAAATATAACTTCACAATGGATTTCTTCTATAAATTTATGAATAGTAAATCACCGTTTCCCATCTCATTTCCTCTGTCTCATTCTCGAAATCAACAATGGAGTTTACGAAACATTTGATTGATCAGGCCTCCAGACGGCTTTCGGGTGATCTGGACAAAACCCAGATGACCTGGTCCCCGGCCGGAAACCAGGACCTTAGAATAATAGCCACCACCACCATCGGCATCATATTATTCACCCTCTTATTCGCCTTGTTTAAGTGCTTGTCCCTATCAATCCACCGCTCTGCCTCCGTCCTTCAGACTTCCACCAATGAAAACCCATCACTCGATGAAGAGCTCGTTGCGTTTCCAATAATCATATACGGAGTCCCGACGGAGGAAAACCCTTCATCGTCATTTGAGGCGGCGGAGGACTGTGCTGTATGCTTAGAAAAGTATGAAGACGGCGACGCGATTAGGGTTTTACCTAGGTGTAAGCACATGTTTCATAAGGAGTGTCTTGAGAAGTGGATTCAGGTGCCGTCGTTGTATTGTCCCATTTGCCGGATTCAGATGCTGGAACGATCGATTCAACCTCCAAGCACAAGTTGCACGGTTGCTATTAATCACGCGGTTGGAATCCGACTCTCTTCCTACTTCTAAACCTTTTTTTTTTTTTTTTGTATACTTTTAATTTTGCTTTTTCCCTTTTTTTTTTTATGCAAAATTTAAAATTAATCTCTTTCTTGTTTCATCACAGGAAGGTCACCTACACCAAAATTGAAGAATTACTGAAGAGTTATGTCTTTATTGACTTCTTCAAAATATCAAATCTTGATCAACAAAATGAAAAGTAAATCTCGTAGTTTTCATCTTTATGAATTGGCAAATAAATTCTATGAGAAATGTGTTTGTCAATGGTGCCTTTATCATGACCAGTACATGTTGAATGACTTCGTCTACAAGCATCCGTAAGCGTAAAGCTCCTCTTTGAATCTTTCAGGGGGTGATTTGAGTGGTCAGTTATGTGAAGGATGAGATTTATGTTCTCCTTATTTTGTGAATGGGATTAGATGTTATCATCTTCCATCCCTTTAATCCTCAGCCAGTTAACTCAAATTTTGAATTTTTTTAATTAAAAATTTTAATATAAAATATCAAAATTTTTAAGTGCTTGAGATATGTGTATCACTACTAAAATTCTTTTCTTTTTTTTTTTCAACAACTAAATATCAGTAACATGGAATTGCTTGTAAGTGATGAATTTTCACAGACAAGACCCATGTTGCTAATACTTAAATAGTACACAATACCTTAAAGAGTAATCTTCACTTTTAACAACATGATTTTTGTTGTTGAAAGTGAATTTTAGCAACAAGAACCATGTTGTTGAAATTTTTTGGTTAGTTAGGCAATTATTCAATGATCAACAGCTGCACCACCCCATAAATTAATCAGCAACATGGGAGCATGTCGGTGATATGGATTTTCACCGATAAGACCCATGTTACTGATACTTAAATAGTATTTGTAAGAGTAGTGTTCCACCTCTTTACTTTGTTTATGGTAACCTTCTAGTCACGCACAAAAGCTTAGCCGAAGCTCCCCTTCTGATTGCGGACATCTGATGGATCCACATGGAAGAAAATGGGTAGAACCATATGCCCCAACTTGTCCCTGCAAGCAAGTATCTTGACGAGCTCGTCCAGGTACCATCCAGAACCAGCATAGTTTGTGGAGTTATCTGTAGTTTTTTTAAGGAAAAAGGAAATTGATCCCGAGTTAGTATTAAGACTTCTGTGTTCTGTTTTGGTTGCCATGAAAATGTGACTGCTTTTTTTTTTTCCCTTTTTTTTTTTTTTATCAAATCATCTATTGCATTATTCAATTGACCTTGATTTTCACCCTTAACTATAAGAGTCAACTCTAAGAAGAAATAGAGTCAATTATACAATATCAAGATTCAACTTCCACTACTAGAAAACCATACAAGTTCGGTCAGTCACATTGACCGAACAAACCCACATTTTGACAGAAAAACTACTATTTTGGTCAAGATGCTTAACCGAATTGTTGGACCGAATAAGCACTGACGGAAATACAATTTCGGATGGAATTTTGTCTTGACCGAAATTATTCATTATTTCGGTTAAGATCATTGACCAAAATATGGGGTAAAAAATCATTTAAAAAAACTTAATTTTGGTGAAAATATTTGACCGAACTATTAAAACAATATTTTAATGATAAGGTTCGGTCAAGTATAATGACCGAAATAGTCATGGATGACTGATTTCCCGGTATTAGATTTCGGTCAAGAATATTGACCGATTTAATCAACATGACTATTTTGGTAATTGACACATACTGTTTCAGTCAAGTAAATTAACCAAAATTATTGTAATTTTCGTAATATAATATCATGTATTATTTCTAATACAGAATAATAATAATAATAATAAACTATTTTACGAATTTTGACTTGGATGATAAAATAATTCTAATAAAAATTGGTGTTTAAAAAATTAAAAATTTAACATCCTCAATTATTTACCCTTCATATTTATTTAATTTATTGCTATTTATAATTTTAAATTACAATTATAATTTTATTTCTAGAAATGTAAAAAAAATGATGAA